AAGACAGATGATCACAAAGTTTCGTTGGAAAAGCTTTGAACCTAAATATGGGCAGGGTAATTTACAGATAAAACACACAGGTGCAGGCAAAAGGGCCACTAAGCACAGGTGGGGAGGCAGGTAGACTATTACATAAAGCTCAAGCTGTTTTTAAATTGTGAACAACCACACTCTTCTGTAGGCTACTGTTTAGCAAGTAAGACCTTTGCAGAGCATTTTGAAAGTTTGGCTGTTACTTTTCATACTCTGTAGAGCAATGTATCACCTGAGACAATGGCTAAAGGAGAATTTAAATTACATCAGTGGAACTAGACATAATGTACTGCAATGTGAGCTGACCAATTATGTGAGGCTTGATGATCCTATATGTGTCTGAGTTGCTTAAGTGCATCATTTTTCTGGGAATCTCAACTGGTGTCAGCTCTTTATTATAAGACACTTACTTGATATCATTACGTTTTTTTATACACTGAGAAAGTTGCTTTAGTTAAAGCTGCAGCTCGCGCCTGTGCTAGGATTTATTAATGTTAGCACTAAATTTGGGTACATATCAGTCTCATGAAAATGGATGTTCTAAGCACTTTAGATAAAATATACTGCCACAAACTTCTTTCTGTGTGTGTAATATTTTTTGTCTGTGTGGCATATGTGATAGACGGTAGAAATGATATGAATTTGGCCTAAGGTAAAGATTTCCTCTCTACCACCCTATCAGTGTTTATGTCATCACACCTGCCTAAACATGGGCATCTCCTCCAGGCAAAGACACAGGAGGGGATTGAAAAACAAACCCTTGGTTTGGTTCAGATTTCAAAGGTCAAGTGTTAAACCGAAAACATCCACCCATTTCCAACCATTTTCTCCCACTTAGTCCCTGTCAGGTTCCTAGTGGGGCCAGTGCCTATCTCTGCCACTCTATGGGCAAGAGGCTGGGTACAGCCTGGACAGGTCACAAGTCTTTCGCAGGGAAACACAGAGACACACAACCATGCAAACACACACTCACACCTATGCCACCTAAGCCACTGTACCTAACAGTCATGTTTTTGGACTGTGGAAGGAAGCCGCAGTACCCGGAGAGAACCCACACATGCATGGGGAGAACATGCAAACTCCATGCAGAAAGACCCTGGGGTGGGGAATCAAACCCAGAACCTTCTTGCTGCAAGGCAGCAGTTCTACCCACTGAACCACAATGTAGCCATAAACCAAAAACAACATTTTGCAATATATGTTGAATAATGGTGAGGGCAAACAAAGGTAGAACAAGGAAATTGTTTCAACATTTGTAACAACAGACCTCTTAAAAGAATAAGCGATGGAGTGACAAGAGCCATCACAAAGTACACAGAGACACAGAGTACACAGAGTGGAGAGAAGCTGGTTTAAAGAAATATTTAAAAATCTTGATATATGTTATAAGCCTCCAAGCCAGAAGTATTTTGATAAGAAAAAATGCTGAAACTGTATCACCAGTTTTTAGAGAAATACTATGACACTACTAGAGACTTGTGGTGGAGACGTACAACGGAGCCTTATATCAATCTCACGATTGATTACGTTACTGATTATTGGAAACTGGTCAGTAGATGCTTGCATACTCCATATTTCATTAAGATGTTAAAAAATGTTTTTGTAATCTACATACTACTTTGGATTCAAAGAAAAAAGATATTGTTGGCAAACAAGGTTTAGTGTACTGTATTGTTGGAAATATGCTGACTTTATTATTTTTTTTAACAAATAACAGTATGCTAAAGATAGAGTTCTCTTAAAAACTGGTGCAATACAGAATTAAAGATCAAGACTTTTAGGTCATACTGTGCTCTGTGTGACGGTCTCAAAACTTTGCTAGAAAACATAAAAAAACAAAGAGCATTATGGAGACAATGAAGCATAGCTGGTCAGAAATTAGGTTGCAGTAAAGTTAAATGCAATAAACATCTCATTAAATAATGTAAAAAAAAAAGAAAAGGAAATGATACTTTAGCTAAAATTACAGGCCTGAAAAAATGTAAAAAAAAAAAAAAAAGTTGTAGGGGGCACAGCAAAATCTGTAAAAGGAGCTGTGGCTAGATGAGACAAGGATTATTTAAAAGAGTATATGTAGATGACAACTACCAGACATTAACTCTGGTCACATAATCCCCACTGGGAAACTGGTAGTAGCAATGTTTTAATTAGATTTGGGGGGGAAAAAAATCATTTAGTTTTTCTTTGTTTTGTGTCAGGAATTCAGAGATGGAAATCCTTACTGACTAGGAACACAGTGTGAAAAGTTGGATCAACTGAAAAGGAACCAGCCAGAACGGCTGTGAAAAAAACCCCAAGAATGAACAGATAGAACAGCTAGCGGCATAGAGCCTAGTTAGGAAAGGATTTAATTCAAAACCTGTTGCCAACTGCACACTTGGAGGACTTGGGGCTGTGGCTGCCATGGGAGGCTCAAACAGTAATTGGAGCAAGAGAACCAAATGCCTGGCAGTCAGGGCATGACTCACTGTGGTCTTGTCAATAAAAATGATCAGCTCTGCCAGGATAAGTTTGAATTTGTGTAGTTTTATAGGCACACAATAAAAATGGAAAGTCCTCCAACTGTCTGCCAGAGGACAAGAGGTAAAGCTGAGAGGTGATGTCATCATATACAGAGTTGTAAATAGTAAGATACCTGTAATATTTTTCTTTATTATTCAGAACTAGTTGGGCTTCTAAAAACCTGCCAATAAAAAAAATCATCCACATTTTATGTTATTACTGATTTGGGAAACGGAATCCAGCAAATTAACAGTTTCACTTTCAAATTTAACCTAAAACTAAGAAAAAAGAACAGTTATATTCATGACCATCTTATTAAAGCTTCCCACTTTTCATGTCTTCTCCTTCAGTTTTCCATTAGAAGTAACTGCTTTGCTGCATTTTGCAATCATACGTAACCAGATTATTTAATGTAAAAAGTAGATAAAAATTAATGTTATGAAACGTTTAGAATAAGATACATTAACAGGTTTTAAATCAGATTTGCAATTGAAAAAGAACACGTCTAAGGTAAAGAAAATAAGTAAAGGTGATTAAAATTAATATATTTTAAGCTTTTAACAGAAGGCATAACAACATGAATTTACTAATTCATGTTGTTATGAATACTATTAAATACTATTTCACTTCAGCTAATTAGTCTTATCCGGGGCCATACATTCAATGTTTCATAATCATACGATAGCAAATGTGAGGCACATCTAATTAACTAAACTTCAGTAGTTCAGAAGCAAAACACAACTTTTTAGACAGGTTGTAGCAAAGGCAAAACTAAATAAATAAATAAATAAATAAAAAAATAAAATGGATCATCCTCCAATGTGCTTTCTTCTCTGATTGAGAGTATTTAGCTCCATATAAGGTCATTTAAATTCTGACCAGCAAAGGAAAAGCTTCGACTCAGGAAAATGCTGTCAAAACTTTATTTTGTCAGTGGATTGTATGTCCTCAAGCAATTTTAGTATTCGCTCAAGTATTAAGTTGGTAAAGTGCTAAGAAGTATTTGCAGTGAAAGTCTCCTCACCTCATCCTGCTTTACCAAAATGCTGGGGTTTTTTTCGTTTTTTTTTTCAATCAGTCTCTAACTTACAGAAAAAAAAGATTTGAAATATCCTTTTGCATCCAGTTGGTCTCAGTTTTATGTTTGCTTTATTGTTTTTCTTGTTTGTTGAGTGAAGTGAAGCCAAGCCTTTTGCTCCTGAGCTAAAAACACTTTCTGGGTTAGCATATTCAATAATTAAGTGTATATATTATCTATTTAATACATTTTTATGCATACATTTAAATGAAAGCAATACATAAAGAGGTATAACAATTCATTCAGTTGATCATTTGAAAATCTAACAAATATGGAGGTCCAGACAGTTAGCTAAGCATGGAACCTGGGTAGATACACTACACATTTACCATTTACACAATATCACACATCTTCTCACACACAACTCTTCTTCGTGTGTTACCTGATAATGGCATGCTGTGGGTGTACCAAGTTGTTATGGTGAAGTGGCTGACCTAATGCATTAGATTGAGTTCACTGTCAGGTCTTTAAGTAGCTGGGATCAGAGGCAGATACACAGCTAATGGATCCTTCTATCTGTGGGTGGAATAACATAGACATAGCTCTTTTTAAAATGTGATGGAGACAAAAAAACAACAAAAAACGCAATTTAACTTAAAAAAAAAATTAGACAACAGCTGGACTTGTAATCATTTTACATTTTCATTGTTATGATCCAAGCCATGTTTAATTAATCAATTGCTGTTTATGTGGGAGGCCATGGGATTGTGTTATACATTACAGTTCTTGCTGAACAGTATATCAGACTGAACAGAGATGGTTAAGAGAAAATGTTTGATTTCTGTTTTACAACTAATGGCTATTGGGTACTCGTCACGGCATCATTATGGGAAATCACTTATCTTGCTGAGTGCTCTACAACTGGACCAACATGTATTTTTTAGAGCATAAAGAGAGAGAGAGCTTGGAAGTAATGTTGCGTGTGGTGGCCTCCAAGGCTTTTAATGAGCAAAGCAGCACAGATTTGTTTTGGATAAAAAGTGGGATTTAATGGAACACAAGACTATCTGGGCCCAAGAGTCGGGTATGTTGTCTGGAAGAATGCCCAGAGGTGCTAACTTTATATTCATGTCGACTAAGCAATACTTAGACATAGGAAAATCTGGACAGTGTTTCTTTTTGTTAGATTTTTTAACCTCTTTCCTCAAAATTAACTGCAACAGCTGTGCTGGGGGAACTTTAAATTAAATGATTTAGAGACGATTGAAGCCTAAATATGATGACTATTGGGAACGTATTATTTTTGAATAAACATCACTTTTTACTACCCTTTTTTTATGTCGTTGATTTAATGCCAGTGCAAGCTGAATGCAGTGTGAGTGGTACTTTTCATGTCCCTGTGGCTTCTCCTAATATTTGCAAATTGCTTTGGATTTCACCTGCACAGGACAAGCAGAGCTTGGTGTCAAAGCAAATAGACCTAAGGGGTAAGGAGCCAGAGAAGGGTGTGCTGATGTCTCACACGGTAACAGACCTGGAAATCCCTCGATCCTATGAGGTTCGACTGGCTCCCATCACAACTTACAGCACAGGGGACTATGTCAGCAGGATCATTCTGTACTCAGAACGTAAGTCACTGTCTCATCCTTTTTTTTGTAAGGAAAAAAGAAATCAGTGTTTATCAAAATAATTATGGAATTGCAATTTTCTTGCAGCCTACACTTATCCAAGATCTTCGGGTAAGACCACCCAACCATTTTCTCCTTTCCCGCATTTTACTATTTTAAACTATTTTGTGTATTTGTGAGGAAAAAACTTTTCCTCAATTTTTAAGCTTAGCATTAAACACCCTGCTTGTCCATCAACATCATATTTCTTTAAAGCAATGTAGGTTGAACGTGGATTCAACACTCAAATGACTTGGGATTGGCAGATAGAGTAATCATGGTGCCGAATTTGGTAGCATGAAACCAAATTAAATAGATGCTGTTTCCACAAACCTGTTGTCAATACATCGATTAATGAGAATGTTCTTTTGAAATGAATATTCATATACATTTATCTCAGTAAATTAGAATACCATTAAAAATATTTTAAAATGGGCATACATTTTTGTTTAATTTAAAAAGAAAAACTTGTGTATTATATAGAAATTACACACAAAAAGTAAATTTTGGTTAAATTGGATACGTATTGCTTACAGTCATTGTAAATACTTTTTTTATTTATTATTTTTTTTTTTTTATATCAAATAAGTTAATATTGATATGCAAATCTCATCCTTTGAGAAAATTATGGCCATATAATTAGTGTAGTGTTTTCCACTGGGGGTTGGTTGTCATCTTCCATAGAGCAGGAAAGCCAAAGATCATTGATAAAAATCAAGACTTCTGAATTTACTTGTATTCATAAGAAATAAAATGTTAGTGAAGTGTGTTTTAGAAAAAACTGGAAAACCGTGGTGATTTAGAGGCAAAGCTCATTGACAGTCGCCACTTGAGACACAACAAAGAGACATATTCAGACCATGAGATTAAACAGTCCAGCTATCTCCGCTAAGAGGTGGCTCTAATGCAGAAACCGAATTAGAGACATTTTACCTGCACTGAAGAGAAATGGAGCCTAGGTGTATTTTCAATCTGGAAGACTGACAAATATTACTGCCATGTCATCCAGATCCACCTCTGCCCGCCTTCTTCTACTCTCCTTCTTCTCTGCAGCCCATATTATCCAAGACTCTCCCTTTTGTGCACTTCATTGTAGTCCTGTCTGCCTTCAAATCACGCTGCAACCCACCTCCTCCCTCCTCACATATCAGCTACCTCCATCAATCGGCTTCTTTCCTCCACCTCTATTCTCATGAATATGCCCTTTCTATCATCATCAGCAATGTTCAGCTTCACATTTTCTAGTGATGTTGTATTTTCAGATACATATACTGTACATTTTGCATTTCTATTGCCATTTTTTAAAATCTGTAAAAAAGTGTAGAAGCACAGAGTCCAAGTTGCTTGAAGTGGTGTGTAAAGGTTCAACAGTCAGTGGGTCTTTAGGGAGCCATATGTCATACGTTGTTGTTTAGCTCTGTTTTATCAAGACCAAAGTCAACATGGCCATCTGCTTTGAGATTTTAGAACACTTCATTCTTGTCACTGCTGACAAGCTTTATAAAGATGGTGATTTAATGTTCCAGTAGGACTTGGCACCTGGCAACAGCAAACTATTTAGATGGGAATTCCATATAGAAACTTTTCTTAACAAAAAAAAATATATATATATATTTATATATACACCAACAATGTAGCTGAAAACCGCTGTTAAACCAATTTAGGTTTCCTTAACATGCCAGCCACTGTCTGATCATCACTATCATCTCATCTAAGTATTAAATGCATATTTTTTTAATAAATTGTAAACTTTTATTATTTAAAAACACATTTTAAATGGTTTTATGTCCATTGTATTACTTTTAAAAGCTATTTAATTGTTCAATTGCTGTAATTTTACCTGTTATAAATCTATTTACAGAGATGGGAAGTAACGAAGTACAAATACTTCGTTACTGTACTCAAGTAGATTTTTCTGATATTTTTACTTTACTTTACTACTTATTTTTATGGCGACTTTTTACTTTTACTCCTTACATTTTTACACAAATATCTATACTTTCTACTCCTTACATTTTAAAAAATTGGCTCGTTACTTTAGTTTTGAATCATTTCAATGGAGTTACCGTTATTATTTTTCACCTCATAAATACCAAATTCAATGTAATTGGATGGGAATCTACGTTGCATTTGACGCACCACTACAAGATGAATCGACAGATTCGGCGGTATTCGTTTGCGGCAAATCACTGCAGCTTGGTGGCGGTGGCGTTTGCATAGTAGTATGGACGACGAGATGATTGAAAATGAACACAACGGAGATCTAGTCCTATTGGCAGACATCCATTTAAAATGTAGGCAACGGCATGAAAAAAGTGGTTTCTACTTTTACTTTTATACTTTAAGTAAATTTACAAGCCTTTACTTTGTTACTTTTACTTGAGTGAAGAAGTTTAATCAGTACTTCCACTTTTACCAGAGTATTTTTTAACACAAGTACCTGTACTTTTACTCAAGTACGGAAAGTGAGTACTTTTGCCATCTCTGTCTATTTAATGGCTTATATGAGATTCATCTGATGGAGGGGAAATACAGGTGCTGGTCATAAAATTAGAATATAATGAAAAAGTAGATTGATTTCAGTAATTCCATTTAAAAAGTGAAACTTGTATATTATATTCATACATTACATACAAACTCATATATTTCAGATGTTTATTTTGTTTAATTTTGATGATTACAAATGACAACAAATGAAAATCTCAAATTCATCATATCAGAAAATTAGAATATTGTGAAAAGGTTCAAAATTGATGGCCCCTGGTGCCACACTCTAATCAGCTAATTAACTCAAACCACCTGCAAAAGCCTTTAAATGGTCTTTCAGTCTAGTTCTATAGGCTACACAATCATGGGGAAGACTGCTGACTTGACAGTTGTCCAAAAGACGACCATCGACACCTTGCACAAGGAGGGCAAGACAAAAGGTCATCGCTAAAGAGGCTGGCTGTTCACAGAGCTCAGTGTCCAAGCACATTAATAGAGAGGCGAAGGGAAGGAAAAGATGTGGTCGAAAAAAGTGTACAAGCAAGAGAGATAACCGCACCCTGGAGAGGATTGTGAAACAAAACCCATTCAAAAATGTGGGGGAGATTCACAAAGAGTGGACTGCAGCTGGAGTGAGTGCTTCAAGAACCACCACACACAGACGTATGAAAGACATGGGTTTCTGCTGTCGCATTCCTTGTGTCAAGCCACTCTTGAACCACAGACAGCGTCAGAAGCGTCTTGCCTGGGCTAAAGAGAAACAGGACTGGACTGCTGGTGAGTGGTCCAAAGTCATGTTCTCTGATGAAAGTAAATTTTGCATTTCCTTTGGAAATCAAGGTCCCAGAGTCTGGAGGAAAAGAAGAGAGGCACTTCATCCACGTTGCTTGAAGTCCAGTGTAAAGTTTCCACAGTCAGTGATGGTTTGGGGTGCCATGTCATCTGCTGGTGTTGGTCCATTGTGTTTTCTGAGGTCCAGGGTCAACGCAGCCACATACCAGGAAGTTTTAGAGCACTTCATGCTTCCTGCAGCTGACCAACTTTTTGGAGATGCAGATTTCATTTTCCAACAGGACTTGGCACCTGCACACAGTGCCAAAGCTACCAGTACCTGGTTGAAGGACCATGGTATCCCTGTTCTTAATTGGCCAGCAAACTCTCCTGACCTTAACCCCATAGAAAATCTATGGGGTATTGTGAAGAAGAAGATGCAATACACCAGACCCAACAATTCAGAAGAGCTAAAAGCCACTATTAGAGCAACCTGGGCTATCATAACACCTGAGCAGTGCCACAGACTGATCGACTCCATGCCACGCCGCATTGCTGCAGTAATACAGGCCAAAGGAGGCCCAACTAAATACTGAGTGCTGTACATGCTCATACTTTTCATGTTCATACTTTTCAGTTGGCCAACATTTCTATAAATCCTTTGTTTTTATTGGTCTTCAGTAATATTCTAATTTTCTGATATGATGAATTTGAGATTTTCATTTGTTGTCATTTGTAATCATCAAAATTAAACAAAATAAACATCTGAAATATATGAGTTTGTATGTAATGTATGAATATAATATACAAGTTTCACTTTTTAAATGGAATTACTGAAATCAATCTACTTTTTCATGATATTCTAATTTTATGACCAGCACCTGTAAGGTATGGACAATGGGTGGTTTAAAATACAAATAAATAAAGAAATAATGAAGATCTGAGAGCAAATACAGTACAAGCTTTGTATACCAGGGAGGTCACCAATATTAAAAGTTGTGTCAATTCTGTTACCCTAATCCAACTATGTATTTAAGATTATATTTTTCTGTATCTATTAGTATCTAATGTTTCCCTGCATCTCATGCTCTCGCTTCCCATCCCCGTTGATCTGAGTCAGTCAAGTCTTCAGTGTTTTGTTCATTAAGAGAAGCGTAGCATTTTCCTGGCAGGAGTGCCGTTTGGCTATGCCAGGGTGAAGCAATTAAAACAACAGCAGATTGGAACAGACTGCGGGAACAACAGTGTAAATTGAAAGCAGTGCATGAAGTAGAGAATGGTGTGAATAGTAATAGATTAGCTCCCTGAAACAAAAGAGAGCACACAAACAGTCCTCTTGGGGAGAGTGAGCCATAAGCATCTTTATCAGACTGTATGTCTGTGTGTGTGAGGCTGGCATGTGTGTGTCTCTGGGATGCTCTTACTGAGGCTGTCACTGAGGCTGTCAGCTTGGATGGTTTTAGACGGCTGTTGTTATTCTCTCTTGTCTAGTGAGTCTTTGATAATGGCAAAACCCACCAGATGGGCTAATGAAGGTGACAACACTTTTGAGAGAAGCTGCTTTATCTTGCTTAACAAGAGACATCAGCATTAGTAAATCTGAAGACAAGGAAGTGAATCCAAAGATCCCAAAAGAATACACAGAAAGGAAAAATGTGATCACAGCACCTGCCCATATCTATGACATTATAGTTTACATTTGAAAAGTCTAAACATCCAGTTTAAATATTCTAAAAAGACATTTTGCTTTTGCTTGTAACTTCAGCAAAAACATATATATAAAGAATAAAAAAGTATTAGTTGTTGTCAAATATGCAGAATATAAAAATAATTGTTTTAGCCAAAAATAATCTGTTTTAAAAATGGCTATTTATATTGATTGGTTTCTGCTTTCCCCAAAATTTACCATAGGTCAAATGTGAAGCAGGTGGCATGAACCAGTGAGTCATAATAAACTTCCACTTTGATTTTTTGGTTTCAAAAAATGTATTAAATAAACAAGTTATTACATTATGAATAATATCTTTTTGGACTAAACTTATTGATAAAAATCTTAAATCTCTCCTTTTGGGAAATACAGGGGTTCCCAAAGTGGGGGTCATTAGATCATCTTTACAGTTATTGTAATGTCATCTTTGACTGTAGTGAAGTAGAGCTTATATTTTTAAATAATTAAAAAATTTAATTTCTCATGAAATAAATTTATACCATTAAATGCATATATGTTTATTTCAGTTTTATCTAATACATGATACAAATATTAAATTTAATTCTAATTTTGGAAATACATAATTAAATATTTAATCATCCAATTAAATAGTTAAAAATACAATTTCATTTAATTTAAAATAAATTTTATATAAAAATAAACATAATTTATTTTTATATTTACAAGTGAACAGACATTTTAGAAGCTATACATATCTTTTGTGGGTCACAGGGTGAAATATATAGAAATCCCTGCTGAAGAACATGGTTAAAACAAGTCCATGTTACTTTCTGTAATACATATATCCTGTCCCCCACATTCTGTTCGCCATTTTGTTACTATAGGTCTGTTTACTCTAAGGTGAACATTGAAAAGAACATTTTATATATTACCATCATGTGGATCTTATGTTATTTATCTGCATAATATTTTTTCAATAAAATCTTTTTCTTATTTTTTTCTTTCTCTTTAAATTCTTCTTTTCATGTGCGCACACATCTCAGACCAAGTGTGTGGGTTCGAGGATGAGCGGATCTGTGGTTTCTCTCAAGACCGGAGTGATAAATTTGATTGGACAAGACAGAATAATCTGACGCACAATCCCAAGCGATCTCCTAATACTGGCCCGGAGACTGACCGCAGTGGAACAAAGGAGGGTAAGAAAATTGGGAAATAATTTTTATGTCAGAGTCATGAGTCATTGTAATAATAAGGAACCAGTTGTTGTAGAGCCCCAGTCAGCTGTAGCCTCTACCAGTCCTTGGTATGTTAATCTAAATACACCACAAAATACAGAATGCTGGTAGAAAAATAAGAAAAGTCTATTCTCAGAGCAGATACAATATGCAGCGCAACCAGTAATGGCTTTTTATGTCTAATTCTGTTATTTAAAATTTATTAATTTTCCTTATTTTTGAATAACCTCTTAACAGGTTTTTATTGTTTATGTTTTCTTGTTGATCTCAGGGTATTACATGTACATCGAAGCATCCCGACCTCGTGCTCAAGGGGACAAGGCCCGTCTTCTATCTCCACTTTTTAATGTGTCTTCAGTCAGGGGCCCGAAGGGCTCTAGTCGAGTCCCATACTGTGTCTCTTTCTACTATCACATGAAGGGAAAACACATTGGTGAGTGCTTACACATTCAAGGCAATGCAAGGCAAGTTTATTTAGATAGTACCATTCCGTATATAGACAGTTCAAAGTACTTTACATTAATTAAACAATAAGATAGAAAGAACATGAAATCAGAATAAAAGCAAGTAAAGATAAAAGCAGACATGGGCAATGTGGAGTCAACAAGTCATCTCCATGTCATGTAATAATAATAATAATGAATTTTATTTATCATGCACTTTACATTTGATTTCAAATCTCAAAGTGCTACAAAACAAGTTTAAAAGACCATAACATTAAAAACAGAGTAAAAAGACAGTCATTAAAATCAATACATTAAAAAACTGAAGCAGGTGAGTCCAATCTTCACCGTGAATTAACCTGTGCAGATTGGACTCACCTGGTTAATTGGCTGGGTAGAACCTATACATGACATGGAGATGACTTGTTGACTCCACATTGCCCATGTCTGGATAAAAGCATTATAAAGTAGGTAGTAAAGCAAATAAAACAATTGAACCAAAAACTTAAACTAATGAACTATTTCAATTTACAAGTAAAATCAAGTTTTAAACAAATTTTGAATTAAAAGAAATCAGGCTTTCAGCATTCTTACAGTGTTCTGGGCTATTGCTCCACATAAGTGACACAGAGGAACTCCTGTACCAGAAAGGCCCACCTAGTTTTCCAGACACTTATAAAATCAAGCAATGACATATATAATAAAACAGTACCACCGCTGTGGTTCTTCCACAGTCTGAATTTATACTGATGCTACTGAACACCTTAATAAGGGCAGTCTCAGTAGCCTGGTTAGCATAGAAAACAATTCTCCATCATGTGGAGAGAATTGCTTTCCTTTCTATTGCTTCCCTTTCTATGTATACATTGCTGAATTGTCTGATTGTGTGTTATTGTGGATTAATTTTAACAGTTAATTCTTGTGTTCTCACTATAGCATTTTAATAAGATGAATAGATTTTATAGACTTTCATGCTCTATATCAAACAATTTTCTTTCTGATTACCTTACATGTTTAAATATAAAACAGCATTACCTTTTAGAGAGATTATAGTCCTTATCCTCTATTTTTGTAAATGTTTAGTTTCTCCATGGCAAAGCTAACTTTTTAATTAAGGAGACAGTGTTATTCATTTGAATGATGAGTGTCTGATCAAAACTTTTTAAGTCATTGGGCCTTATGCAGCAACAATTTTGTATTCTAGTCGTAAATCTCTGGTACTTGGGGCTCTTACAAAGACAACACATCAGATTTAACAACGTTCTTAACTTGATCCTTATAAACTTGAAGCAGTCCACCTGTGTTTAAGTGAGCTTGCATTCCCGAGAAATGTAAATTTGCCACCTCAGTAAGGCCGTATAACTGCACAACCTCCTAAGATCGTCAGGTGTTCAATCACAGAAATGGCATTGAAAATGAAGAAAAAAAAACTCTGCTGAGAAGCAGAATTAAAGGACCAGTAAGAGGCAAGCAGTGTGGAATAAATTACAAGAGCTATAAATGACAAGGTTTGACTTTTATAGAAGTGAAAATAAAACAACAATAATAAAATACTTTGTAAAAAACGGTATTTAAAACTACTTGTTGAGGCATGAGGTGGAACTTATGACGTAATTGCTTAATGAGTTTGCCATCACCAACCCAACACAGCTATCTGCAACTCTCGTTTCAATACTAACGCACATATGTGCTGTACATCTCCAGTAGCCATATGGGGATTGATTAGGGCAGGATTGATGGGGTGTTGTTTTTCATGTGGGGCCCACCCAGATAGTGTTGCTTACGGGCCTATTGTTGTGTTGTTACGTAATTGTTATAGAGTGACAATTTAGTGCAAAAAAAACATCTTTGAATTAAAGCTGACTTATTGCACAAGACCCCTTCGCCAAATCAGGAGTACTAGTAAAATGTCTTCATACCCAGGAGAATATTAGATATAGGGGGAAAATGGTGAATGTGATATTTCCTTCTATATCACACATGCAAATGACTTAAGAAATAATTTGTTGGTACGAACACTTTTTGCATGAGGACCAACTGTTCATATTATACATGCAATCCAAACTGTTTGATATTTTTATTTCAGAATGTATAAGGCCTATTGAAATCATATCAATGTTGCTTATCTGTAGTTGGTCCTCCATCTTCCTTCTTTGGATAGTTTTTCCTTTCTCAATGTTTTTTTTTTTGTTTCTTCAGCCAAGCTTGAGAAGAGAATTAAACTTTTTTGTCATTACATTGTCACAAGTAGAAAGCAACCAAATTCACTCTCTTCATTTAACCAATCCCTTTGGGTAACAGTGGGCTGCTATTGGGTGGAGCCCGGGAGCAGTGTGGGGGTTAAGGGTCCTGCTCAGGGTCCCAGAGTGGCAGTCTGTGGGAGTGAGGCTTGAATTGTGAACCTCTAGGATCCAAGCGCAGTACCCTAACCAATATGCCACCACTCCCCTATAGCCCCCCCAAACTCTAAGCTTCTCCTTAGTATTTGATATAAATGCTCTATGCTTCTCCTTCAGGAAAGTCTTTATATAAGGGTTTATACATGGCCTTTTAGGTTTTGTCTTTGCCACTCAGAATCTGGGGATGATACTGTAGAATTTGAGTCTTCTGGTCAGAGAGTGGGGCATGCACTATTGGCATCCACTGTTGTACCAAAAATATAAATGAACCCCCTCCGTATATCATTCAACCTTGTGCTAAAAAAGAGCTAAAAAGTGAACCCTGATGTAAAGAACAGGAACTTGCCTGCTCACATGGTCTCTAAATATAAATAAAAAACGTTGTCCACAAACCAGTCAGCTTAAATGTTATTTACAAGTACAAACAACTTGAACAAAACAAAAAAAAAAACTTGAACAAAAGCACACAAAACTATTGACAGCTGGGACCTGCAAAAACATGCTGCCATCAAGCATCCTTGCTTTTTTTAAATTAACATAGCACCTTATCATTTACATTAAATGTTATGTGTTAAAAATATTTCTCATGTTCTAAATACTTACCGGTAGGCTATTTGGCAAAGTAGCATTTTGGGCGTTGTTGTGTAAATGTCAAGTTCTATTCTGTATGAAAATCGAGACATGTTTTTAGCTATAAGAAGAGGAGAGGAGAGAGTATATTTTTTCTCCGTCAGTTATAGTGCAGAATCACACATAATGTGTTTCTTCTCTTTGGGCTCACTGTCAGCAACAATAAACAATATTTAATTAGTTTTTGTTTGCCACTGGGTAGGTGTTTAGAAGGGCTGAATGCAGTATGACAAGTTTAAAATTTCTTGGATTATTTTAAACAGGGGACTGAAGTTTATAGAATGCATTTTATTTTCATTTGGATCAAATGCTTTGATAAATGTATTAATAGACTCTGTGTACCTTTTTATCAACAACTTGTGTTTTGTAGGTATCCACATTGCAATGGATGTAGACTTTTTGTAATCCAAATTGAAAAACTAATTTGACTTAAAGATCACCAGTGAATGCATGCTTGTGATGTTGCACATCTTTTATACCTTGTTCTCTGATAATAGTGTAGACAAGTGGGTCTGATAGAGCTGTGCCCCTCTGAAACTTTCACTACCACACTCTGCTATACCTTAGACCAATCAATAGATTGTTTTAATAGTCCACTGCATCCTGCAAGGTGTGTGTGAACTTATAGGTATAGTTATGTGTAAGCATTGATAATTGGAATAGGCAAAGTTTGAGTGGAAGCAGAGATAGAAATGATAATGAGGCTTTGATATGTAGCTGTAGACTCAAAGACCAGGTTGAGCAGATAGATATATATTTGGATCTCTCTATTTATGTTATATTATATAAAGTATTATTCTTTGTCTTATGTGACTCATACCGTTCAATAGCATGAGAGATGTTATGCAATTTATATATCTTTAAAAACAAATTAATAATTTTCTTGAGATTTTATGTCAGTTATCAACACAAAGGAAATAACAATGACTCCTGTTTTTATTAGTTGTTTTTGTTGTAGCAAATATTAGCCTGTTAGTCTTTAATAAAATCCAGCACAAACTATTGCTTTCAGAAGTCATTGATAAACTGAGTATATGTGCATAACAGTTTCTGAGACAGGGACCAGACCTTAAGAGAGCAAAACCAGACGTTCCAAGACCGAGAACGAATCTTTAGAATTTCAATAAAATTTTAGAACATTATTTTCTACACTAAAAAATGCAAAAAATAATTGAATGAAAAATGGTTAATTTATTTAATAAAAATTACTCATGGCTGTCAAAGTATTAATTTTCAATCAAACCATAGATGTCCAGAATTTAATTTATGTGTAGTAATTGGGAATGGCACAGGGGAAAAGATCTGACTGATGATCAGATTTGCATTCGAGAATTCACAGTCCCAGGAACTTGTAGTGTTAAATTAGCTGGCACTGACTTTTTACCCAATCTTTCTCTCTGAAATGAAAGGTTTATTGTGATTGAGAAAAACAGAGCAAAGATTGTTTTTGCATGTATTTTAAAGTACAAAATAAACAACTCCAACTTATAGGTTTTATTGTTATACAGGATCTTGTTTACAAGTGAGATCTGCCTTGATAAATTTTGAACATTGTACCGGGCTTCTCTTGCTTTTAGCCTACTCTCTGTTGGGTTGCTCTCTGTCCCTGTGTTTTTGATCCTTGTTTGCCTCTTGACCATACGCTTTCTGGTAGTATACAATTTGTTAATCCTGGAAGCTCTTGCAGTGTTGGACCTGGATAGGAGATATCTTCTCTTTAGGATTGAGAGGATTTTTTGGAGCTTTAACTACCAGCATGATGGTGAGCTGTTCCACCTATGTTTACAGAAATAAGGTTTGATGCATCGATCATAGTAGCTCTTCTCTGTCAGTCAGAATGTCCAGTTGGTTAACTATTACCATTTTGTCTGTTTGAATTAGGAAGTCCTACAGGATCTTAGCTCTCTTATTCTCCACCACCTTAGGAAGTGACTCCCATTTTGACCCAGGGGCCTCTAATTCAAACTCCGCTCAACTTATTCTAAACATGACCAGGTGTTGCATAAAATCCTTTCATTCTAATCTCTCATTTCCTGGTGTGAGATACTAAATTGTTTCAAGGGACTCTGTGCATAGCCTACAACTTAGATCTTACCTTGTGTGGTAGATCTGGGCTTGTGTAGATTTAAGGACATCGGTTAACAAAAATAATGCATGCAAATGATCTTAGAAAATAATGATCTTTAGTTAAATGATTATACCTTTGTTAATAACTGTGTTATTTACTTATGGAATATCCATCAGATTAGCATCAGGAATTATATATACCAAACAGAATTCTTACAGTGGTCTTTGGTCTAAGCCCAGGACGGAACCTGGGTGCTATCTTGGTCAGTTGATTGGCGGAGACTTGAAAACATAAAACATCCGTTTTATGAACAGGCAGCACCAGCAAGGCTGTGCTTGGTTTTCAGCTCTGAGCTCCCATGAAGAATAATGCTGTCCTCTTATTAACATGGAAAATAGACCACGATTCTGGAGATTTCACCACCTGTAATGTGATGATAACTGAGGGACGGACTGTGTCAAAACACATCAATAAGTTGATGCTCTGATATGGAAGATGTAGTTTTGAACTGGAAAAGTTGTAATTCTTTTAAGTAACATATATTTTTATTTCGGATTAAATTTAGCTTCTGAGTACAGCTTCCTTCTTAATCCCATTAAAAAAGGGATCATTGACATATACTAAGCAGATTAACCCCATTAACACAACTCTTTCAATCAGAAGAGTTGTTCAGTTATTTGAGGGTTTTTGCAGAGGTGCTTTATCTCAACTTGTCAATTTCTGCAATGTTTAAACAATATTGTTTTTGAATTCTATATACTGTACATTAAATAGAAAAGGAATTTTCAGACATGAAAACATATGGGTAGATACTTCTTCTGCATGCACACACATTATTACCACATGTAGAGCACGTATGCCCCCTGCTTGTGCATTTGTTTAGGAAACTGGTGGTTGGTTAATGTTCCAATTAGGGGCTGGCTGGAGATCGTTAAGAATGCTCACTGTTGTCCATGATGTCCTTCATTTTAAAGAAGAATTTATGTTTTTTGTGAATTAGTCTTCAAGGATTCTAGAGGAATTTTCAAACTTTGGTGGCCTTCTTTATCAGCTTGTTGAGCTTTTTTAGTAATTTGCTCTGATGCTGTTAACCAAGCACATGAGGACAGAAGAACCACAAAACAGGCTTAATTGGAAGGCAACCAAACTTTTGCTAAATTTCTTTGAAGACGTTTCGGCATCTATCCAGAAGTCTTTGTCAATTCTGTTGGTTTGCACCAGACTGAGAATTTACAGAGGCATGATGGCAGAAGAGATCACACTTTCCACAACAGACTGATAAAATATATGCTGTTAAAATAGGAGGGACTTAGCTTTCTTAAGAAGTACAGTCCGCTGTGTACCTTCTTGGAGATGACCTTACACTTGCTTCTCCAGTTGAGTTTGTTGCCCAGGTGTCCCGAGCCCGTAACATTATTAATGACCCCTAACACTTCCACCATGGACTTTTCTCCCTGCTTCCCTCTGGGAAGAGGCTTTACAGCATCCGATTCAGGTCAAGCAGACTCCAGAACAGCTTCTTCCCAAGTGTCATTAGACTGCGGATTGTTGTATAAAATGGGGTGTAAAAAAAAGCGATGAATGTTGGAAACTGTAAATCATTGCCAGTCTTATGTTTTGCATTTTTTTAACATGTTTACAATTTATCACTGCTGCACTTTAGAATTGGAAATGTCTTGAGAGCTGCACTGAACAAAATCTCATTTGTATAGACTCTGTGTGGACAAAATTACAATAAATTCTGTCTAAGGTGAACACTAAGGAACTTAAACTCCTCCGCCTCATCTCATTCTTCCAAATTGTAACAGGATTTCACTTATTTTTAGTTCTTCCGAAAACCAGTTTTTCTTCAGGTTGTTTACACACCATGTGACAAAGTAAGCAATTCCATATGCTCAGGTTCGTGCCCATTTTTGATGCGCCCAGTGACTGTAGAGTCATCCAGGTATTTCTGCAGATGACTCAACTGTCTTGTATTGAAAATCAGAAGTGTACAGAGTAAATATGTAGGAATAGTTATATTACCATCGTATGTAGTCCGGGGCTTCTGACTACCTGATCACACAGTTGACCCTTTAATTTTACAACCCATGTTCTATTTGTCAAGTAGTGTTTGATCCAAGCAATTGCTGTTGCCTTTACCTGTGTCTTCTGCTGTTTCTGACAAAGCAAATCAGAAATTGTGTTGAATACACTTGAGAAATAAAAAAAAACATGACTGTCTAAATAACAATTGACCTGGACCTGATGCCTAATTACAATTCAGTCTCTCCAGTTGACTGAATTGTGAAAAATAAGGGATAATAAACCTACATATAGTAAATACTTAAGTTATTCCAAAAATATCCGTTCTTTCAGGTGCTATGTCCTGCTTCATACTGTAGATATGTCCGAAATAAGTCTAACCCATTTACTGTAGAGGGTTTGTATGGTATTGTCATTTCAGAGTTTTTTGTACAAGTCTCATAATGCCAGAAAGCCTCACCAAATAAACACCAATCCACATCTAATGTACTGTATCAAAACTAAATATAATTTAGTTTAAACATAGGCAGGGTGAAGTTTCTACTTTTCTATATGTCATTGGAGAAAATAGATTTTATTACTGACAAATTTCTTGTTTTTTTTTTGCTGAATTTTCTAGATAAAATATTTTGCTTCTTGCAGTCTGACAATTTCAAATTTACTGTACTGTACATGTGTTACTTTTTTACAGGCACGCTTAATGTTCTTTTGAGAATGAGAAGTATTGCACCTGTGGACTCAGTGGTGTGGACAAAATCAGATCATCAGGGCCCAGACTGGAGGAAAGCCTTCTTTGACATCAGCCCCAGAGGACCATTTCAGGTAAACCACTAGTGCTGGCTGTTTCCATACACAATAAAAGTGTGAAGTCAATTATATAAGATTAAAAATGAGCACATCTTATACTCGTAAACCCTCTGACAAGATATTTAATATAAAACAAATTTAAAAATAAAACAGGTTGAAGAGGAAACCTGTGCATTTGTTTACTTCACAGTTTGGTCCTTTCCTATCTGCCGTGTCCTATTACACCCTTTTGAACTAAGATGTTGCCCGAAAGTCAGAACCTGTTCTGCCCAGTAGAGAGAAAAATATGCACTGTTCCCCTTACTATTAATACAATGTTTTAAGAATTAAGCATTGATTTTAGTCTTGATTTCATGACAGGAATCTAAATATTTTCTTTTCTTATTGATGAAAATACATAGAAACATTTCACTGTACTTCACTCTGCCTTAATCAAAATAATATCTGAAAGTTATTTCCTTATTATTTTGTCTACTCATTACTACGACAGAAAAAAATCTTTTGAAATGCAAATAGTTTTCTAAAGTATTCTCATCTCTTTGCTTTTTTTCTACAAAATTGTGTTGAAATATTTACCTCCAACTTTGAGGTAGATCCCTTAGGGCTTTGTTGACATGTAATAAAGTACAGATAAAATATTAATGAGTTTTGGGATCCCCTGTATTTAAAGATATACGGTTACTGTTCATTTTTCTTTTATGTGTGCAGAGATTTTGCTGAAAGAAAGTTATTTGGGCAAAAATGTTTATTTTGCATAGTTCTTGAACCAACATATAAATCATACAAACATAAGAATATATTGGAATGACTAGTTGGAACAGCTTAACATCTAACCTGGGCTGTATTAACTTGCTAACTTTAAGATTTAGCCAAATCAAAACAGATACTGATGCTATGAGGCTGGTTATTTAAATATTACAGGAAGGTCAAAGTTTAAGTTAACTAGTCCCTTTAAGTCATCATGGAAGTAAGTGCTTTGGAAGAAATAGCATAAAGGTCACTTATTGTTGGAGGACTGTCTGCAAACAAATCATTAAGTCACATTGGCTCTCTGTTTTTTTTTTTTTTTTTTTTTTTTTTTTTTTTTTTTTTGACTAACATGATGCATCTCCTTATTCTGATTCTTCTAACTTTCTTTTAACTGAACCGCTTTAAATACTCCTTTATACCCACATCCATCAAATTTTAAATGAAGATAGGTCTGTTAGGGAGAAATGGAATGTGTGCAATAACTTTTTGTTCTGCTTGTTTTTTTTAGTATTGTATGTTAATATTATTATTGTTTTTATTCTTATGAGTCTGTATGTAGCCTATGTGTGCATTTTTAGCTGGTATTTGTTCCTATCTGTACTTATTGTTTCTAATGGCAGCTAGTACTATGCACCGTGCACTTGGTTCCATGACAAATTTTCCTTATGGGACTAGCTGAGTTCCCCTAGGGGACTTTTCTATTTCAAATGTCTTTGCCACAGTCAGGTATAGTACACAGGCAGAGAAATATTGACAGTCTTGGCTATTTTGTTTCTGATTAGATTTTGTTTTTGCTCTTTTTTTATTGGGAAACTAGATGGGTCAGTTATCCATCAGCGTAATACATTCTTTTCTCAGGGCTTACAATAAATCAAACGTTGCCGTAAAGTGTGAAGGTTTTTTTTACCCTAGTGCGCCTAAGTTATTCACTATTTATTTATTAATTTGTTTTACAATTTAGTTTTAATAAACACTGCATTACTTTCAAAGCTGTACTAATTATAAAGTTTAATTATAAAACAAATGTCATTTGATGTTTGTCCTTAAATTCCCGTGTGTGATAGTTTATTTATTTTACATGGACTTTTGTGCAGATGTCATAGGTAGTAAGTAGAGAGCCCTGCACCTTTATTCCCTACTAAAAATAAATATATATAATATTTACAAATATATAAAGATATATTAATAGAATAAGAAAGAGTGGTATTCATATATTTTCATGTCTTTGGCACTCAAAACTCAGCAGGAAACATTAGCAATGATTTTTTTTTTTTTATATATGCATAAAAGATAGTTTGCTGGAGTTTCGATGGTGAGATTCATCTACACCAACCTCACTGCAAATTATTATCTTGACCTCTAAATATATATTTTTACCACACATCCAGTAAATTTAATAAAATATCAACTTTGTGAAGGTTTTCTTGGAGCTCCTTTTAGATTGCTAAAAGGTGTAAAAAGGCTTTATCTAAAATAAAACATTTTGATTTTAAAACCACAGGGCTTTAAGTTGATCATCAAATTGGTGAATAGCAGCCCAAAAGCCTTTAGAGTGTATAAAATGTTTCTTTTTGTAATTTTGCAGATTTTATTTTTTATGGCATGCAACAAATGATATCTGACATATCCCCTGAAATAAAACACAACAAGCTGTATTCCTTTAGACAACACAGTCACTAAAAAGATATTTCCATTACTAAAATGTAAAAAAAGACCATCAATAGAACAATATCAATATGTATTTGAATGGTAATCAGAAATTTAAATAAACAAAATCTGTAAAACTTCAGAAAATATTTATATATCTACAACTCGCAGCCATTTTTGGTAACTCTTAAATGAAGCATTTTAAAGTCCACCTCTGTACATCTCTTGTCTCTTGATATTTTAGTGTAGTTATTGTATAAATAAGTTAACACTTTCCTTCTTACATTTTCCAAGCCCTAATGGCCATTCCCTGACCTCTGTAAAAGTCATTTAACTGAAAAGGTTTTGTTACCAGTACATTCTAACAAAGTTATAGGATGTGTTTTCTTCAACCAGGTCACTCAGAAATAATAAACTGTCAATGTATTTCAAACCTGCTTTGCAGGCGGAGGCTTTAATGTGTTGAAATTATATGCTAGTGCCACGAAAGGCAAATCGCCTTTCTTTCTCATACTTAGTTGCCAGGGTTACATTCCTACTTTTTGCAGTAGTTATGGCCTAGCTACATCTTGAAAAGATTTTACTTCTTTTATTCGTCTTTTATTAAAAATCTGTTGTCAAGTAAGAAATCAGAATTTTTTTCATAATTTTATCTTTTTTTTATACAACATGTAGTTGGTCCCTTAACATATGATAACATTCTGCTCCTGTCCCCATGCTAGTTTCGTTTAGGGGATTTATGCATACTATCTTTGTCTAATGATGAAAACTGTTTTTTCACCATCTTAATGACATTCGTTGCACACCTGGTCTTTTCCAAGCTTGTATTTTTTCCTTCCACCCATAGTAATTCTACTTTTAAACGCACTTTAAAGTTAGATTTGTTTCTGAAAGTTTCACATTTAATGTTAAACACAGTTTTCATATAATTTTGGTAAGTAATAAAATGGATCTCTAATGCTTACCAAAAAAAATCATTAACTTTTGCTCTGTCTCTGACGTCCCCCTCTAGTTCTTGAGATTTCCTGCTAGACATTTTTCTTTATGTCATTTTAAAGTAAAAAAAAACCCAGCTAATTTACTTATTTTTGCTATTCCCACCATCAGGTTTTAATACCAGATGGGCAACTATTGGCTCAAAAAGCTCCTGGTTTACTTCGTGGTACACAGTTACTCTTTTTTTGTGCAATTTATATCCTCTAAAGAGCATAATTGGCCATTTTAGTGACTTAATCATGAAAGATATGTTCAAACAGTCAAGGAAAAAAAAAGGACCTTCTTTTGTTTTTTTTATTGCTCCCTGTATTCCTCGAGTAATACACATTTAGAACAAAAACGCTGAGGAACACAAAGACGGCTACTCATTTTTTTTTTCATAACTGTATGTTTTAGATAAAAGCACATATGCGTCTAAATTAAATTAATATTCATGCAAATTTCATTACAAAAGTAAAACTTAAAAAGATTTATTACACACTTCTAAGTTTATCAGAAACTATGGCCTGTAAACCTAGTAGGTGATCATTGTATGACACTGCTAAGGTGTTGAGTTGCAATGCTGTGTGATGAAATCAGCATCTTCATAAAGTGTACCAGGAGAGGGATGCATTAATTATTTATTTTAATATTACATGCTAAACGGCTCCTCTCATCGACCCGATTAAATACATTGGACCAACACAGGTAGATATCATATTCCACAAATCATTAGGAACTGAAAATTTCACACAGACTTTGAAGCTTATTGGACTATATTTTCTCCACAAGTACTTACTTCTTTACTAGTCTGAAATAATGATTTTAATATACAATGCGAAATTTACTTTTTTCTGGAAAGAGAACTTTGGATTCCAGAGCGGTAATCCGCTCTTTTCCTTGGTATATAGTCCTGATATTTTTCTCATTTACGTGTAACTTAAAGTGTAAATATTTTAAAAAATCTGTTGTTCAAATATTCTGAGTTATGAATTGATTCTGTGACAAGAACAAAAAAACTAGAGACCTTTGGATAATTGAACAGTCCAGTGATTTATCGTCATAGACGGAAAGTCAGCAGGTTTTTGCAGGGCTTACACTGACTACAGAGTGGTTGTTCTGCAGCCACCACAACAAAGCAAAGTAATTAAAATCAGTTCGTACACGCTCATTAGCATGGTGCAGTGCATGTGCAGCTTCCAAGGATGTACGACTCAGTTCATACAACCTTCTTAATTTCACAAGCCAAACAGAATAAGTCAGGTGCCAGACTATTGGAGGATAAAAAGTATATTTATGCACACAGAAAACTGTGCCCTAGAACTTCCAGAATATGGTGCAGTAAGAACACCAAAATTAAGACTAGTGTGCCAACCATTGCCAACTTCCTTGGCACATGAGACTATATCCATTGTACAGACAGCTACTGATCTAAGTAATGGTTGGCACACACCAGCTAATGAGCGGCCCAGACTGGCAGAGTACTCTTTTGTATTAAGTCTTGGGATGCTGGTAAATAGCATGAATGGGCTGGTCATCCTCTTGATTGCCTTTTGCTGTCAATTAGCAGAGACCGGTATTAGCCCTAGATAGGCAGGCACTAATATAGAATAGGCTGGCATTAGCATTAAACAGCCTAGAAA